TCAGAGCCTTAAGTAATATATTTATACATTAGAGTATGTTGAATAATTATAAAATGTATTAATATATGAAATTGAATAAATTACGTTGAAATGTAATTAAGAATATGTGAGATAAGAAAATAAATTAGAATAAATAAAATATAAGTTAATTAAAATATATAAAATAAAATGTCGATGAGTAATCGAGCGGTGGTACGATATACGTTCTAGGGCGTCGGGCCAACAACTCTGCGGTTGCATTTGGGATGCATTCAAATATGAAGAAAGCAAATTTTTTTCATTAATATTACCTTTGCTGTTAAAATATTAATGGTACACAATTAAAATATTTCATATAAGGTATTTAAAATGAACAAATTAAATTAAATTGTTTTAGATAATGTAGAATTACAAAGTAATAAATTGCGGCTACATGCTAAAATAATTGGTAGAAAGTAAATAAAACGAAGTATGTATTACACTAAATGATAGATAAAATTATAACAATGCAAGTGTAGTGGAAATGGTATTATAGTAGCTCGATGTGATGTTGTGTACGAAGAATGAGTTTTTATGAAGCGATATAAAATGTTGTATATTGGTATATTGAGAGAATATTGTCAATATGTGTTAATAGATTGTATGCTATATAAAACGTGTGCTATATGTGTGATGTTATTTCATACAAAATGTGATGCACTTGTTTCAAACTAATGTTTTAAAGCTAGAGTTCGACCAAACTAGAAATAATGAATTACATGACATTATGGTTGATATTAGACATAAAATCAAAGATCGCAAACAAGACAATATTTTTGGAATAGTTGCTAAAAGATTTTTAAAGAACTTCCGTACACACGCAAAAAAATTTCAAAAACGATGTTGACTGTCGGATTGAAAATCCTAACGACTAAAACTAACAATCCTCAATAATAAGTAAAACACCACAAACTTACGAAGTGATTCGTGGGGGCTATATAAAGGAAAAACTGCGATACTATTCCGACAGTCGGGCTGCTGCTGAGTCCCTGTCTATCCAAACGAACACTATTCTTTTCACTTCCGCTCACTGCTCTTCCTAGTTTATGTTCTCTTGCAATAGCGCAACTGCTACATGACCGACTCTACAGTTAATGTTTAAATTATCTTGACAAATGGTGTGATTATGAATACTTTATATTTCATTCAATGAGTATTCTAACGTTGAAAGATCTTGTGGAGTGGCCTTCTTTCCAGAAAATGGTAGAAAATTTGAAAACAAATATTGACTTTGACAAATTTTGCGATGATTTTCTGCGTTTTGCAGTATTCAAACACTATTTGTCCAAAAATGCGAAAACGAACATTTAACTTTATGATTTCTGCGTGGACAAAAGAACAAAATCGTCTTGGTCTAGGGGTAATAAGAGCCGAGTTGCAGGTTTGTGAAAATTTAAAATACAGTTGTTCTTATTTTCATGACCTCGTTGTTGAAGACGCTTAAAATCAAATCAAAAGTACACTTTTATGCAAAAATATTTTTACAAACTAATGTAAAACTTTAGAATAATGTTTTTGTTAAAAAATTGAATAAAATAATGTTTCTTACTCGTGACGCCATTATGAGGTCTAGAATCGATTCTATTAAGAACACTCAACAACTGCAGCAACTTTCGTGATCTCTGGCATTCTCTTAACAACATTCTTTACAAATGTTCAGATCATCAATTTCTGATGCTGAATCTCTTACTCTTGTATCTTCTTTAGCTTTTTCAAGAACAAAATAAATTATATTCATCAATCTATTGCTACAACAATTACTTCTTCTAACATTCGTTCTTTAAACCATATACCTTCCTCATTTTTTTTCTTTTTCAGCTGTCACCTCAGAAGAAGTTTTAAAGCTCATCAACTCTTTGCCTAACAAAATCTCTCCCCATGATATTATTCCAGTTTTTATTCTTAAAAAATTTTCTTATCTTTTTGCTCCATTACATTCTAATCTCTGCAATCTTTCTCTAGAAAACAGCATTTTTCCAACTTCTTTTAAGATAGCTCAAATTCTACCTTTACTGAAAAAATCTAACCTTGATCCATTTGATCCTTCTAATTACCGTTCTATTTCCAATCTTTCAACCTTCTCTAAATTACTTGAACGCATTGTCTTGAACAGGATTCTCATTCATATTACTTCATCTCTTAATTTTTCTCCTCCTCAATCCGCTTACAGAAAATGTTATTCTACAGAAACAGCCCTCCTTCATTTTCACGACCACTTACTAACATATGTAGAAACCAAAATTGTGTTGTCGTGGTCAACCTGGATCTTCCAGCAGCTTTTGATAACATTAATCATCAGATGCTTATTGACAGACTTGATGCAGAATATGTCAATTCATCCTGGTTTCAACCTTATCTTTCTAATCGTTTTCAATATATTTAACTTGGCTCCCACCCTTCTAACTTTACCTTATCTGCTGGAATTCTCTAACGGTCTGTCTTTGATCCCATTCTTTTCACTACTTATACCTCTGCTATTTCTAATATCATTAAAACTTTTGACTTACTTACTCTTTCAATACGCTGACGCCACATATATAATACCTAAAATTCCCAACTCTAATCATATATCTCAGCTTGACAACTTAAATGGCCATGTACAATTGGCATTTATCAAACTTTCTTCAGCTTAATCCCCACAAATCTGAAGTAATGTTTCTTGACACTCCGCAACAGCTTATCAAATTTTCCCCCATCACTTGTTTTATTCGCTGATTCTTCTCTCTTCTCAACCTCTAAACTTAAATTTTTAGGCTTAACTTTTGACTCTTCTCTATCTTTTAATTCTCACGTCTTAGTTTTGATCAAATCTTGTAACTATTATAAGTGGACTAGTCGTCATGTTCGTAAATTTTTCACTGAAGATATTGCTTCTGCACTGGCTCGATATATTGTACTATCATGTTTAGATTATTGCAATTCTCTTCTCTACGGTCTTCCTTCCTACCTTTTAACTTTACTTCAAAGAGCTCAAAATAGAGTTGCAAAATTATTTTAAATATCAGTAATTTATCTTCCAGCACAGATTTACTCATTCAACAACATTGGTTACCAGTACGTTAACGCATTATATTTAAACTCGCCGTCCTCATGTACAAATTACTTAATACATCTCAACCATCATATCTTCATCAACTTGAATCGCGTCGTTCATTCAACTCATCAACTTCGTTCGTCTTCATATACTCAGTTGCATCAACCTGTCAGCAATTTATCAGCTGTCAACAAATGTTTTACGTACAGCCCTCCTTCCATATGGAATGATTTGCCCGTCATTATTCATCAATAACCAACTATCAAACGTTTTAAGAAACGATTAAAGAACTTTTTGTTTATCCAGGCCTACGGAAACGTCAAAAGTCATTGTTTAGTTTTTGTTTTGTTTTGTCGAAGTTTACATTTAGCCCGTGTTCGGCGAGCTGGGTATTCCAGACCTCAAACTTTTTGGCAGCGTCTTGTTCTGAAGCCGCCGTCATGACAATATCATCTGCATATATCACATTCCATATGTTATCTGAGCATATCGATTTGGTTTTCTTCCATCATCGTGATGAAGAGCAGGGGGCTGAGTATTGATCTCTAATGGACGCCAACGTTACTGTCAAATTCATTCGAGTTACCGGCTGTTGTGCTGACTAGAGTTTTTTTTTGTTAAAGTACCGTTGCCATAACTAGCCGAACCAGATATTCGGGAAAAAGCTGTCTACGTAGACTCCACATGGTTGCCTTTGAAGGCACTCTGTCAAAAGCCTTTTCCAAGTCCACAAATACATGAAAGAGTCGCTTTTGCTTTGCCAAGAACTTTTCTTGTAGTTGACAAATGATATAATTAGCATCAATGGTAAATCTCTCTGCCATGAAGCCGCACTGGTAACCACTTATTGAAACGCACGAAACAGTCTTTTCTCAATAACTTTTTTAATAACTTTCAGGGGTTGTTCCAGAAAACTTATACCTGATATGAGGAGCATTACAGAGAGTTTCTATTTTTTTTATATATTCACACAGTTGTATATCTGTTCCATTCCACTGGAAGTATCGATTTACTCCGCATCTCCCGACAGATGTGTAAGAGGGCTCTGAAGCCTGCTCCACCAGATGCCTTGATGATATGATTTTTATGTCTAAACAGACCAGCCGCTTTACCCCCCTTCATTGCCTTCAGCGCATCCGAAAGCTCCTCAGCTGTGATGCCCTGAAATGGTCCTTCCACCGGAAGTGTATCAAAGTCCACCCCAATATGGTTTGTTTCATTCAATAACTGATCGAAGTAATCCTTCCAGTGATCCTTCACTTCATTCTGCAAGGTTATTATGGTGCCGTTATTATTCTTTATGCATGTGGCACCAACAATATCCTTTTTCAGTCTTTTGGCCTGATCTGCTATTCGGTAGAGCGACTGAATTCGTTCGCCTTTACTTCCAGTCAGCCATACCTTGCATTGATTTAAAGCTGCTTTCTTACTGGCAATAGCATTTTGCACTCTCGTTCCACCATTAAGTTTCGCGGTTGTGCTGGCGTTTTTGTCCAGATTTTCCACATACAACTGTTGCAGCGTTCACTAAGGTGTCTTGAAAAGATTTCCAGGTTATGTCTACCTTCTCCAGACGATCCAGCTGTGCCGATACCAACTCCTCAAATTTCTCCCTGAACATGATATTCTTTAGCTTCCATGTTTTTATTCTAGTAGGCATTCGATCAGTCACAGGGCGTGATCGTTCCATGATCATATCGGTTACCAGCAATCGATGTTGAGGGATGCATGCATCGCCTGAATAGTCGTCTGAGTTGCTGTATGACGACAATAAATTCAATTTGTGTGCATGACATCCTCTTTAATATGTGATCAAATGTTCTGCCCTCTTCTTGAAGTAGGTATTCAACAGGAAGAGTTCATGGCTTTCAGCAAATTCCAGAATTCGTACACCGTCTTCATTTTGAGACCCGTAGCCATGGACACCGTGGGACCCATTTGCTTTATCTCCAACATGGCCGTTGAGATTGCCACATATCAATAATATCTCTAATGACGGTGTTTTCCTGACAGCATCTGAGAGTGTGTTCCAAAAGTTATTTTTGGCGTCTTCAGATTTACCGGTCTGTGGTGCATATGCAGAGAAAACAGTCAAAACCTGTTTATCCATTCTGAGTTTAATCAACATTAGGCGTGAGCTAATTCGAGTCACGTCCAGTACATTTTGTGTCAGTGATTCCCGTATGAAGATTCCCTCTCTATTTTGGTCTGTCTTTTGGCCATTCTAGAACAACTTGTAACTTCCAATGAGAGAGAAACCATTTGATTTCTATCTTATTTTCTGCAGAGAACAGATGTCAACCCTTCGCCTTTCTAGCATAACGACGATCTCCATGGAGCGTCCAGTAAGCGATCCAATATTTATAGTGCCAAGTCTGATATTTCAGGAGGGGACGCCCGATTTCCCGCAACATCTCTCCACTGTTGCATACTTCCTGGATATTGTCACCTCTTGACCATTTAAGGTCTTCCAGGAAATAGGGTATCTTTTCTTTTTTTGTGATGACATGAAAGATGTTTGGGTAAAAAATTTTTTATAAACTACCAGTTATATGCAGTGGGCCTAGCCTTTTTGCTGGAAGCACACGAGGCAACGCGGATGAGTTTATCTCGAGCCCAAACGAGCATTGTTTTAAGCGGTGCACCTAATCTTTTGCAGTGGATTTAGAATAGGTCATCCGCTGTTGGAGACGTTGTCCTAGAATCCTCCGCCTCTTTCACCGTTGTCTTCTTCCGGTACAGTTAGTTTGCGGCATCTTATTCCGTATTATTCGATGCAATCCTAGAAGGTCACCCTACCCAGGACTTTCCCTTATCCACCACCTGGGAACGCGCCATATCTAGTGCACTCCAGCATGAGGAGTTATCAAAATATAGATAAGCTATATAAAATAGTGCTGCCAGAAAGAGATATGATTAGGAAGAGAAAAGTATTGAATTCAGTTAAATAAAAAAAATATTAAATTTACAGGTATTAGAAATTTGTGAAGTGTAGGCTTAAGTCACAAGAGATATAGAAAGGAATAGAAAATGAGTAAAAAGATTCAGCGTGCATTAATTATTAGGCGCTTTGTTGATAAAGTGTTAACTGCATATTGTTAAATGTTAACGATAGATTTAATTTTATCAATATATAAAGATTCAGTTATTTTTAATACGAAAAGATCTGTTTTGTACCAGTTTTCTGTTGCGTCTTCATTAAGATATCTCATGTGATTGATATATTGTGTGCATAGATATATATAATATGGATATGGCAGACGCGTTATATATATATATATATATATATACATATATATAAATATATATACATTGTTCATATATATATTAACATCAAGGTCAATCTAACAAATATTTGCTAAAAAGTGAATTTAAATTAAAGTAAACATTCAGTTTTTAGACGGTTGTTTAGCGATTATTGTTTTAGTTGCTTTTTTGCATATATATATTATATTATATATATATTATTATATTATATATATTGTATATATATTAACATCAAGGTCAATCTAACAAATATTTGCTAAAAAGTAAAAAGTGAATTTAAATTAAAGTAAACATTCAGTTTTTAGACGGTTGTTTAGCGATTATTGTTTTAGTTGCTTTTTTGCCAATTTATTGACATTAATTGACGATAGTAAGACGTTTGATAGTAAAAAATCAATAAAATGTCAATTACTACGAAAAAATATTTAATGTTTACGCATTTAATTCCATAGAATTAAGAAACATTATTAGACAGGTAACAATTATTATGCCATATACATTATATCCATGATTGTGTGTCTTTTAACTAATTTTTCTATCAAATATGTTGTCTGTACATTGTAAATTTTCTGGTAAATGTTGTTGTCATCCCAATATATTCGACATTTTTATGCCGGCACTCACCAATTATACATTTAATAGAATATATGAAATGACTTACTTCCATAATTGACTTTGGTTTAGAAGAACACTTGTTTTTTAGTATCAGAGAGGAACAGTGGCGGATCTATGGGGGGCTAGTGCGAGCAGTTTTTTAATAAAAGTCTAAAAAGGGCGGTTTTACGTAGTAGAAAATAAAACTCAACCAAAAATTGGACATGAGAAGCAAAAAAGGTTGTCAGCCACACTACCACAAATCTTGGTGAGGTAAAAATTTTGGCCTCCCCCCGTCAAAATTGTCTACATCCGCCACTGGAGAGGAAGTTTTGTTGTTGGAGTAAAATATTCTAAATATTAGGGAATCGGTTGTGTTTGTAGTTTTTACATTAATTTTTATTATTCTTTTTATAATCATCTCATCAGTTTTATAGGCAGATGACATTAACAATTAAACACATAGTTTAGATACGCTAAAATGTCATAAACTGAGAATTGCTAAATACGAAATATCCAACACGAGGCAGAACAATTGCTTCAACTTTACAACGCTTGGTCAGGACTTTTTTCTCAAAACGTAACAACATATATAAACGTTTGCATTTTTTAATAAAGTTTACGGGATTTATATCATTAATAAGTTTTATTATTATTTTCGATGTTTTAAATTAAAATTGCACATTTATTACTTAAACTTAAAAAGTATTTATTGCAAATTTATTATTAGTTTATTTTGACACTAAATATTATCATCTAAGGCTCTAAGCAAACGTTTTTCGATGTACAAATATATATATCAGATAAACTGAAATTAAAAACGTCGATCGCATCTGGTGTGCGTCTAAGGTCTGACGATATGAACATTCTTGTGGATCCTCATAGACAACTAAATATTGGATCGCGTGATTTTGCTGTGTCGGGCCCTGTCGTATGGAACGCCTGGAATGAACATTGCTGAATTTAAAAGACAATTAAAGACATACCTTTTTTTATTATAGTTCATTTCTTTTCATTCTTGCTATTTTGTTATTATTATTAGTTATAATTTGATAGCGTTTGTGAAAACTGCTATAACGAACGCTATATTAAGTTTTCTCTTAATAATAATAATGTAACTAGAATAAATTTAGGTTCATTTTTCTAAATGATTTATTTTTTTATTTGACAAAAACATAGAATTTCTTAGAGTGCTTAATATGATAATGCGAAAAATTAAAACAAGCTAATTTGTTTTATTTTTTAATATATTAAAAATTCAATAGAATTTTATAGAACTTCAAACGTTAAGTATGAGGTTAACAGATTGTAACAGTCAGGAATTCTATAAAGAATATAAAATATCCATTCACAAAACATCATAACTAAAAATTGTTAAAATAAATTTTTATGTTGTCATTTTTTAAAGGAAAGGTCCAACTAGCATCGAAACTGTTCGGAATTTTTTCGACCTAAAATAGTAATTACCGTTATTTAGCATGTATTGGGTATGCATTTATCTATGTAATGTATTTGACATGTCATAATTACCGACAAAACCATATGTAGAAAAAGTTATTTTCATTCGTATGGTTTAAACCATAATGTTTATTTACATTAAAGTTAAAGACACGTTAGAGTAAGACCATCTTTTTCAAATGCTTAATCTGTTACAACAAAGTATCCATACATTTCTTCGGCAAAATTCGGATTTTCTACTAAATTTTTTTTCTGTAAATCTGTCATCAGATTTACCTTCAAAGTTTTTTCTCTAACTAGCTATTTTGGTTTTTGTTTTAACTTAACATTTTTAATTTTTATATTTGTCAGGCTAGAAAAGAGCTTTTTTACGATGATCTTCAAAAAAAAGGTTAAAGATCTTACACACTTTCTAAAGTTCAGAGGAATCAACCACACACAAACAGCGTATATGAATAAGTGCTAAAGGACGCATCTTATACAAAGCATGAATAAGTGCTAAATGACGCATCTTATACAAAGCATGTGATAAACAAAAGGAATGGGACAGATCCAAGAAATCGAGATCCGTGGTATCCAAATCCGGATCTAAGTGATGGATTCATCCAAGGCGCATGCGGTTTTATATCCGCAAGCGCCTTGGAATCAGATTATACGAATGAAAATAACTTTTCCTACAACTGGTTTTGTTGATTAAGTTGTTTGTTTCTAAAAAATTATAAATTCTATTGTTGGTGCATGACGAGAACATTCTATAAAGCGTAGGTTGTAGAGTTATGTGTCTGAAGTTAGACAGATCGTTTGCGTCGCCTTTTTAATGAATTAGCAATGTGAATCTATTTTTCTAGTCTGTTGGGATTTTGAAGGATAATCAACATTGTGGAGAATGGTGCGTAATACATTTTTTAAATGGGATTACTGAGATCTGGTTTAGAGGGAAAGGAGATTTTGATTTGTACCCGCGGATTATTGTAGATATTTCTTGGTAGGGAGAGGATTGGTGTTGCAGGGTTTTGTTGGTATTTGTACTTTTTGCACCCAATTTGGTGGTTGATATTTAATGTTGTTGATGTTGTTTAAAATGTTGATGAAATATTGTTTACATTTGATTGCCTTATACTTTTTGTTCCCGTGAATATTCTATTGCATGCTCATCAGAATAGTTGTTTTAGTTGACTTGTAACTTCTTCATTTATTGACAGTAGTTTTGAACGAATTGTTTTGCTTGTATTAATGATTTGGTTGTCAAAGTTGTGGTTGTCATGGCTAAGAATTTTTAGTAGTTTGAGTTCTTTTCTCAAATTTTTGATGAATTTATTTGTGTCGATTGGTTGGTCGGTATGAGTGTTTTGATATTACCGTAGTTTTTGAGCCAATACGCTTTGGATACGCTTGTAAAATCATCGATAATGTAACCTGGTAGTGATCTTTAAGAGTTTGATGCTAGGGAGAGATGATACCGTTGTTTCCACGGTCGACGGCTGCGACGACAATTGATAGTTTGATATACAAATTTGACCGCTTGGTGATGTAGATGTTAAGAAAAGGTCTATTACACACTTCCTGGGTTCAGAGGAATCAACAACACGCCACAAACATCGTATATGAATACATGCTAAACGACGCATCCAATACGAAGCATGTGATAGAAAGCATCATATATGAAGCATGTGATAGGACGCATCACGTATAAGCACGTGATAGGCGATGATCTTTTAGTCATATAATCGAATCGAACCCGGTCACTGCACGCAGAGCGAAACAGCACAAGGCAACCTTAACCACTAGGCCATCACGCACCCCAATTTCATCATGTTCAAGTCATTTCGATATCGACCGTTTATTCTTCAGAATTTTCAACGTTTTTTGGGTTTTAGATGCTCATTGGTTCATTATTAAACA